ACTTTGCTTCCAGAAGAAAAACCTATGTAGATCTCTCTCTCTCTCTCTCTCTCTCTCACACACACACACACACACACACACGCAAAGAAATACCAATACGAACACCAGAAAACCTTTGCAATCATTGAAGGCGTTGGTATACCTTGCATTTGGCCATCTGTAGAGAAATTGCTTCTGCTTTACATAGTACATCTTCCACATCAATTTTCATAGACAATTCATTGATATGCTAAAATGCATCAATACAGCAAAATTATAATCTGAAACCACAAGTAGTATTATATTCTGCTATATAAGCAATGCATTGCCACTTATGTTTCAGTGCAAATAAAACTCTTAAATATACTAACATACCAAATACTAAGGAAATTCAATATATCATTCGTCAGATTATTTCCATGTTTAATGAATAAGAATAGCAAATAAATGTATGGAACATTAAATCCAGCTGCTGTCCCAACTATGCTCTCTCTTAGTTGTAAACAAAAGAAATTTTCTACATAAAAGAGCATTTGTCGCATTTCCCTTTCTTCTTAATTAACCAGGTGAAAATAACTAGCCCAGAAGTATTTGTTCAACTGTCATTCTCAGAGTCTGCACTAGCACGAAATGTCAGTAATACAATTCAAGTTACTCCCAGATTCAGAAACACTCCAAGGAAACATTCTGTACCTCAGAGCCACCAAGTACAGGACATGGACACATTTGCACCTAAGTTAAGAAGAACAGTTACCTTAAGTATTTCATTAAAGCCATAGTGTTTTTCCATTATTTGCTGCTTTTCTGATTCCAGAATAGCACAACAGAGAAGAAGATGGAAATTTTTACATGGTAGTTCAGTCCACATTACCTATAAAAAATACAACTATTTAGTAGACCTTATCATTTCTAAAATTATCTTCCTCACAAATAGAAAGTTTAACACAAATGACTCCCATACAGAACAGAGGTTGTCTATTAGGGCTGTCTATCATTTTTCTAGTAAAGGAATGAGGGTATGGCATCTAACCTCTTAACAACAATGTAACAACAAGTTTACCATTATGTAACTATGACGGATTTCAGAAACAGCTCTTTAGTTAACCATAACAAGTAAACCAGAGTCTAACCAATGTAAGTTATAAATTAAAGAACCACAGGCATGAGATATATTTAAGGTATAAATAGCAAAATTTTCCATTGTTTTAACTTTTAGTTTCTCATTTTTAAATCATCGTATTATTAAAAAATCTGGCTAAGTCCTGGACATTACAAATGATTAGATTATACTCGTATAATGCATGGAATTAAAATACCCAACAAAGTCCAAATACATTCTAAGTATGTAAAACCTTACATTTCACATAACTGAGATCCCTGACTGTGAAAATAAGTGAACCAGCTTCTCAAATTGGCACATATAAAATACTTGACCAGTGACTATCCATCTTCCTTTTTTTCCTCCCATCTTCTTTAAGTATAAGTAATGCACTCTATTATAAGACCAAAATAATTTCCACCCTGGTAATATGCTTAAAATAACCTTCTCAGAAGATAAAGGGATCTACATAACACTGTTTGTGTGCATCTGAAATGTTTTCACTTCTTATACCAAAAGTAAATAAAATTGAAATCATTTTCAAACAGTGTCCAATTTTTGGAAACTACATTACAATACAATTAAACTTAAGAGTTTTAATTAAAGCTTCAATTATTTGGTAAACACAGACCGAGAAGTTATCCTAGCAATGTGTTAATAATATTCTGAACCCATCTTTTAAAGTAGTTGACTTACTGTATATACTCGGGTATAAGCTGACCTGAATATCAGCTGAGGCACCTAGTTTTACCGTTTAAAAATGTGCTGAACACCTTCCCGACACGATCGCTGAAGACAAATGTGTGCATAAGCAAATGTGGTGAAGAAAGTCAATGGTGCTCGGCTATCAAAAGATACAGTCTGGGGTCTTAAAGGCTTGCAGGTAAACAAGCAACCACCTAGCTAAGAAGCAACAAAGTACACATGGAAGAAGCACACCAGCCTGTGTGACCACAAGGTGTAGAAGGGACCAGTTATCAGGCATCAAAGAACAAAAAAATCTTATCAGTGGGTGCCCATCTTCCCAATATGATCACTGAAGACAAATGTGTGCATAAGCAAATGTGGTGAAGAAAGCTGATGGTGGCGGCTATCAAAGATATAGCATCTGGGGTCTTAAAAGGCTTGAAGATAAACAAGCGGCCATCTAGCTCAGAAGCAACAAAGCCCACGTGGAAGAAGCACACCAGCCAGTGTGTCCCCGAGGTGTCAAGGCAATCAAGTATCAGGCATCAAAGAACAAAAAATCGTATCACTGTAAATGAGAGTGAGTGCAGAGTGGAGACCCAAAGCCCATCTGTAGGCAACTGGACATCCTCTTAGATAAGGGTTGCGGGGAGGACATGAGTCAGTCAGGGTGCAAGGTAGCAACGATGAAACATACTACTTTCCTCTAGTTCTTAAATGCTTCCTCCCCACCACTATCATGATCCCAATTCTACCTTACAAATATGGCTAGACCAGAGGATGTACACTGGTACAGATAGGAACTAGAAACACAGGGAATCTAGGACAGATGATCCCTTCAGAACCAGTGGTGAGAGTGGTGATACCAGGAGGTGGAAGGAGGATGAGGGAGAAAGGGGGAACCGATTATAAAAATCTGCATATAACCTCCTCCCTGGGGGATGGACAACAGAAAAGTTGGTGAAGAGAGCCATTGGACAGTGTAAGATATGGCAAAACAATAATAATTTATAAATTATCAAGGGTTCATGAGGGAGAGGGGAGCGGGAAGGGAGGGGGGAAATAAGCAGCTGATATCAAGGGCTCAAGTAGAAAGCAAATGTTTTGAAATGATGATGGCAATGAATGTACAAATGTGCCTGACACATGGATGGATGTATGGATTGTGATAAGAATTGTATGATACTCCAATAAAATGACAGTAAAAAAATGTGCTGAAAAATTCAGCTTATACACGAGTGTATACAGTAAATAACAAACTATAAAACACTAAAATATTTTAGGCAGAGAACCTGTATCTTTTACTTCTTATTTCAGGACAGAGTGAGTGAGCACAAAGCAAAGGTCCTTCTCTAGTGGCAGCACATCACCAGTGGTACACAGGAGAATTATGGGAATCGATATCCGGCTGTCAGAGCTTCAACAGGCACCAGGGTCCCATTGTATATACATCTATTTTTAACCCACCCCTTTTGAGGGGAAATTCCTGTCATCCCTTAGTTAACATATGAAGATAAGGCACTAGGCCATTTTAATACATTCTTTTAAAAGCACACTGATTTATTGTTTTTCAGCAATAGTTGACCAGGATGCAAAATGGAACAGGAGAACATATACCATAAACATAGCAATGGACTTCCTCTAGGGAGGATAGGCAATGGAACTGCAGTAGTGATTAAAGAATACATAAACTATGCTTTTGCCCCACCTCCCCTTCCTTGGGGGTTGGGTGTGGGTGAAGGGTAAATTTAAAAGCAAATAAGTCAAAATGTTAATACACAAACATACCTCATTTCATCTGCCTTTTTTAAAAAACAAATTGAAGGTCTATGGCAACCCTGCGTCAGGTAATCTGCGGGAGCCATTCTACCAACGGCCGGTGCTGCTTCTTTCATGTCTCTGCGTTGCACTTTGCAATTCTCACAATATCTCAACCTTGTCTCTTCCCACCATTTATGTGTTATAGCATTTAACAATAGTTATTGGCATATCCTTCACGTATCATCCAATTTACTTATGCAGTCATATGTTGAAGAGTTGTGCAATCATTACCACAATCAATTTCAGAACATTTTCTTCTTATATTCAGTTATTAATTAGTTCCCCGTTTCCCTCTAACCACCCCTGACAGGTTCCTAAATAAATATTAATCCAGTTACTGTCTGTATAGACTTACCCATCCTGGATTTGATATTCAGATGATCAAACAAAATATAAACGGGAAGTGAAAAACAAAACCAATAATGACTAGACAAAACAGAGAAAAACCTTAAAAGCAGAAAATATTAAAAACTGAAACTTTAAAATGGGTCAGAATGGAGCTAAAACCTAATTCCATCTCTCATAGTTGACTTTACAATGCTATCTCATAGCACTGTAAGGCTATTCACATCCCTCCACTGTGGTCAGAGGGGATTCAACAGGGGCTATGGATTTGGGGCTTCCACCGTCATCCAGCCTTCTGCAAACCACATGGTCCAATTTAAGCTCTGGTATCATGCCTTCCTTTGGACTTGTATCATTTACAAGCCTTGGATCACACAGGCTGGTGTGCTTCTTCCATATAGACTTAGTTAACACCTCACTTAGATGGCTGCTTGTTTGAGACCAGCATTTAGTCTTGAAGCAGATGCTCTTCTTTGATAGCCAGGTACCATCTGATTTCTTCACTATACTTTGCTGTAACATCCAGATCTTCAGTGATCTCTTCATGAGGGCAAGCATCCAGCAGGGACATGTCATAAGAACATATTGCTCTTAGACTGGAGCGAGAATTAAGTGAGATCCCAAAATCCATTCTTAATCTGTGGTTATATCCTCTGGCTCACTTCATTCATTCATTATTTATTTTCAAAACCATTCAGTTGAGAATTAATACAGATATCATATCATTCCATAGTTCAATCACATCAACCTGGCTCACTTTCATTTTATGATAGATAAAATAATATAAAACATAACTTTTATAAGCACTAGGAAACAAAAAAAACTTATGTGACTCGCTTTACTGTGATGTTTGCATTTTTTTAATTTTTTTAATTTATTTTTTATTTATTTATTTTTTTAAGATGTTTGCATTATTGTGTGCTAGTCTGATATTGAATCCACATTATCTCCCAGGAATATCTATATATAAATCTCTAAGGTGTGATGTGTTTTATTAGTAGTAGTATTTTACTCTTAAGTTAAATGTTTTTTTATAATAAAATTTTTAAAAAATAACTTACCTCCCATAATCGAAGAATATCTAGAAAACTAAATTCCCGTTTAAATCTGATTAAAAGCCACCTGAAGCAAAAATAAAGATATCCAGAGTCCTGAGATTCTATTAAGAAGGAAAAAAAATTATATATACAGCTTATTCTTTTATTAATTTTTCCAGAATACAGTGACATATCTTATCTCACACTCATGTATGTTAGAATATTCTAAGTCTCATTTATTTAATAGCCTTCTATTTTACAAAGAAACAATACACATTTGGCAAGCTAATTTTTTAAAATCCACTAAATGACAAAAATAATTATACAAAGACAGTTTGATTCCCCCTTTTATTCCTGAGAGGAACCAACAGAACAGTAGTAGAGTATATCCTTCTTTAAGAATATTTTAGTATTTTCTGCAAATACCCTAGATTGCTGGATACGATTTTGATTTACTTACCTAAGTAACTGCAAAATCCACTGTCCAACAATCGAAGTAATGTGCTAAGCTGAATTAACTGAGTTTTCATGCCTTGCATTTGCTCTTCAAAATTTTGATGCTTTAAAAAAAATTGTTACAAAAATAAATACTAATTGTTTTATAGTATATAATCATTTATAACTAAAGCATGATGTCTGAGGACAAATATTGGACTGGCTATGTTAAACATATATATAATTGGTATAAAAGCTAAAGCAAAATTAAAAAGCAAAAAACTAAAAAGAATCCTTGGCCTCAAACTAATGGCTATTTTTGCCTGTATTCATTTGGTTTTGGAAAAAAAACATCTAGGATTGTGGAACTTTAGACTGACACATTTACTACTACACATCAAGTGACAGGATGAACGAAAATATTTATTTGGAAAATAAACATTCATCCAATTATTCTCATTGTTAGGTATTTTTCCAAATCAGTATGTAAAACAAAATTACACAACTTTTTAATAAGTTATCTCATTTTAAAAAGGAGTTACGATAATTTGTTACTTCTTTGACGCAAGGACAAAAGGGAGTCTGTGCAGTCAAAACTATGTTCGGGAAAATAGTGACACATTATTTGGATCTTGCACTTTCATTGTCTCCCAGTGTTCAAAGGAGTTTTCCAGAGGTCTGACAAGTGATGTCACAGGACAGAGTGCAGCAGCAGCCACAGAAAGCCAGCTGGTTTCAATCAGAACCAAAGAACATAGTGAGAAGAGGGAAGAGACATCCAGATTGCAAATGTAAACAACGCCTCCTCCCCCTTCTCAGTATAAGTTTCATTCTTGAAGTTATTTTAAGAAGCACACAAATGCTATGTACATTAACATATAAGAAGTTATTTTAAGTGAACTAATAAATATAAATTTATTGGTTTTAATTTTAAATATGATAAACAAGTATTTCAGAGTGTGAAAAGGGCCCAAGGCCACAAAGTTTAAAAACTGCTGTGGTTTACATGTTTTAAACAGTCCTCAGATTAAGTAATGAATAAATCTGCACAAAAGTAGTACTGTCAGAATGCTCCTCAGAAGCAAGGGGGGAAAGACTCTGTCTCTCGAACTCTGGATATGCGATCAGAAAGGACCAGTCCCTGGAGGAGGACACCATGGTGGTCAGAGTCAGTGAAAAAGGCCACCGCAGAGATGAGCCAGCACCACAACTGCAACAATCGGTCTGAACCCAGCAATGACTGTCAGGCAGCGCAGGACCCGGCTGTATTTTGTTCTCCTGTACAGAGGGGGCTCACTGAGAGTTGGAATCGGCTTGATGGTACCTAACAACTAACAACAATTACAACAAAGTGAATCCCAGACTAACATATAAGTCAAGAGAAAGGGTTGTCGGATCATTCTAATCTCTTCAGCCCATGGGAATGTGCTCCATGCTCAGCACTCCGTCCTGCCCTAGTGATGAGCCTCAACACAGTATCACTTCCTCAGATTGTTTACATCTCAGAGTACAACAATAATGCTTTATTATGAGACTCTTGATATTATAAATACCATATATATTATAAATATAATATATTAACATATATTATTATAAACAAGTCCTTCCTAAAGTAGGGGAGGGCATTTTAAAGGCTACCAACATTGATTATAAACTGGATACTCCTTATATGGCAAAGTGCATGGTGGGTATAAGAGTTCATTTGAGTTATACATTATGTATACAGAAGTGAGTAAATATCAATGAAAATAAATTTTGGGGCATTAGGCTTAGCAATTACAAAAGAAGCAAAAACTTACATGAAGTAAAACTATAAATAAAAATAAGGAATTAAGGAACAACAGCACAAATTTAAGTAAACTGAAACAATAGCAATGCCATGAAAAATTATATACAGTCCTTTCATACAAATGTTATGGGAGGAAAACTGTCACTAGACAATAGACTAAAAAGAGCCTTCAATAAAAAAGGTAAACACTTAGAACACTTACTGTGGGGAGAACCAATTAAGAATTTGAACCTCATATACAAAAATGGCAAATATTTTAAAATCTGTACTATAGATGTTCAGAAAGCAGTCGTCACGTTTGAGATCTAAATATACACATGCACAGAAATATGTATGTATGTATTGGATATTATACATCAATATACTTGAACATACCAATACTGGCTCAGTTTATTTTAAGAAACTAAATTCAATATGTCCATGATTTTTTTTCAATACCTATAATATAAGCTGAAAACTAAACAAAACACAGAGAAAAAATTCAAGTATTAATTCTACAAAATTCTGTTGGGCCACTACTACCTATTCTGCCAATAAAACAGAGATATAATCTCTTGGTCAAAGTGCTATCCTTAGTGGAAAGAGGATAAACCACAAAACCAGAAGGCAGACAATGATTTTTATATAAATAGCAGCAATTGTTCAGATCTTTATAACATTTACCTCAAGTTTCTAGAGCCCTTGGGAATACTTCGAACTAAAAAGGCAGGCAAACCATTCTAACAAAAAAGTAACAAAGATATAAGAGCTGTTAAAGGCCCCAATAAAATGATTAAATGAATAAAAAAATAATTTTAAGTAACACGATTAAATAAAATTAAACTAAAAAAAAAGTGAGGGTGGGGTGGAAAGGGGAACCGATTATAAGGATCTACATATAACCTCCTCCCTGGGGGATGGACAACAGAAAAGTGGGTTAAGGGAGACGTCGGACAGGGTAAGATGACAAAATAATAATAATTTATAATTTATCAAGGTTTCACGGGGGGGGGGGCGGCGGCGACGGATGAGGAGCTGATACTAAAGGCTCAAGTGGAAAGCAAATGTTTTGAGAATGATGATGGCAACAAATGTACAAATGTGCTTGACACAATGGATGTATGTATGGATTGTGGTAAGAATTGTCCAAGCCCCCAATAAAATGATTTTTTAAACAATTAATTTAAAAAGTAACAAAGACTATGCTATTACCAGAATTACAAATGATAAAAAAAAAACATTACTTTATGGAAAAGGCTCAGATCACTTGAATGTCTATTAATTTAACAGTGAAAGAACATTTTCAAGCAATCAAAATTTCTCAAACATACATCTGGAAAAAGACCAGAGTAAGGATGAGTTGGAACTGTGGACAAGAGCCTTGATGAGTGAATTCACCAAAGAGAGAAATTGGATGGAAAGTAAAGCAAGGAGAAAACACAAGTAAAGAAGAAGAAATAAGGGTTTCACTTGCAAATTTCACATCTGTATTCCAAAAACGATGAGTTAAACCCAAGGTTTAACGTTAAACAGGGAAATATTTTAAATGACTATGAATTCAGTCTTTATCCGTTTGCAAGTACATCACCTCAATACTCAATTTCAATGTCCATTATTAAGTGTATCTGTCTTATTTTGAAAAGCACAGTGAGTTATAGTCAGACTCTCCTGTTTGCCCTCTGCCTTTACTTCTTTCCAGCAAATTACCTGAGAAGATTTTTTTGGTTTCTTTCTCTGTTAACACTTTCTCTATACTATTGTCTCAAAGAGAGATTAGTAACAGTTAAAACATTCTCTGTGCTAATATGTACATATAGGTATAGTTGAAATCTTTTTTTAAGATTTCCTTTTATTGTTTTTTTAAAATCATTTTATTGGGGCTCATACAACTCTTATCGCAATCCATACATACATCAATTGTGCAAAGCACAACACATTTGTTGCCCTCATCATTCTCAAAATTCGCTTTCCACTTGGAATTCAACTCTTAAGAAGCATGTGCTCCTGAGCAAATAACGGTGAGTTACTAACAGAATGTAAAGGTTACACAGAGTTCAAATACATCTGGAGAAAAAAGTTACTATAATGACAAAACACTAAATGTTCGCAATAAATAAGGATATTACTCAGCATGACTAAGCTTTATCTTTGAGACAGATGATATGAAAGTTCAACTACTTTATACTGAATTGATCTATTTCATCAACATTCAATAAAGATTCGTGGCTCGTCTAAAATACAGAAGCATTTACTGATATTAAATCCTGATTCTTTCTGTATCGCAGGCATTTACACTATCTACTTTTTGTACTACAAACCATGTCATATTTCCAAGTCTCTTGAAAGAGCTATTTAAAAAAAAGAAAGAAAAGTAGAGACATCAAGTGATTTTTTAGCAACACATCAGATAATGTCTAAGTATAAAAATCAATCTTATATAAGATTATATAGTTGAAATTTTCAAAAGTTGAATATAGAAAGGAATGCTTTTTCTTACCATTTGGTCCATGTATGATGCAAAGCACCAAAAGGCATCCACTTCATTTTCCATCACATATAAAAGAGGGGAAAGCAAGTCGCTCATTCCTTGGACATATCCTAAGAATTAAAAAAAATAATGTCTCGGAAAATCTAAGTTTTATTTATCCTTTTTTTGTATCAACATTATTTCATTTTAGATTTGATCTTTTTGGTTTGGGAAACCAATGGATATTGGTGTTCATCATGGAAAGTAAAGAAAGAACAGGAGCTTAACAAACAAGTGAGAAAGATATTATAGTTGCTACAGACTGAGATGCTAGGCAGGTACAGACCATGTTAGTATATCAAGGGTGGGTTAGTCCTCATGGCTCAATTTTCAACCATAACAGTAGTATATTATTCAAACAATTTGCAAAACACATTTATCGTTCTTTCAAAGGCCCTTTACTATAAAGTTGTAATGAATAAAAATTTCTAAGAAACTAACTTAATCCTTTAAATCTTCAGTTTTCATCTGACATCACTACAATGTTTCTTTTGTAAGTCTTACTGAAGCAAGTAGTCAAATTAATCTTCAGACTCTGGTTGCTTTTAATCTATTTTATCTTACACATATGATCTGTGGGGTATGTCATGGGTTTTGGGGGTGGAATTAATGTACAAATTCTTCTTAATTAAAGAAAGATTAAAGCTGTTTAAATTAGCATTCAGTGACACTCAGATTCTGCATTAGTGCTGACTGAGGCACATCTTAATTAGCACTATTACTATTTCTGAAGTAGTTCCTAAAATCATATTCATAGCAAATTTGTTTCAGTAAGAAGGGGTGAGAAATGAACAGACTCATTATCACCCAAATATACACCTTTTTTTAAAAAGATTTTATTAGGGGGCTCTTACAGCTCTTGTAACAATCCAAACATCAATGTCATCAAGCATATTTGTACATATGTTGCCATTATACCTTCTTACACTGAAAAGAAAATTTTTATTACAAATACTGGTTAATTTTTCAAACAACTGAAGTTTTATGTCTTTGAGTACCAAACTTAAAAAAGAAAGAAAAATCTCTGGGGCTAGAAATCCCTGGGGTTAAAACAATAAGCACTCTTCTGTCTTTTTACAGACAGTATTTAGAGTATCGTTTAACCATTTTTTAAATATCTAGGATCATAATTATGAACAGATACAGCAAGAATGACAGCCGATAGAAACGGTCTGAAGTCTACATTTTACATTAACTGGAGTTGTATGTGCAGATGGTTAATGTGCTTTTTTGAAAACCCAAAGGTCAGAGTCCACCCATAAGAAAACCCTGGCGATCTGCTTCCAAAGTATGAACCACTGAAATCCTACAGAGCACTGTGACGTACACGGGGACCATGAATTAGAAGCAACTGAAAGGAAACTGGTTATGTAACAAACTAAAAATCTACCCTTCCTAGATTTCTTGTCTTCTTTAAAAATTTTCTGTCTCCTTTCTCCCTTTTGAGATTGTATTCCTTATCATCTAACGGAAAGAGAGCTGGTGGAGGTGCCAACCACGGGGTCACTATGACTCTGGATCAACTGACTGGCAGTGGGTGAGACTTGGTTTATTGCCTACAGGTTAAAGAATCATGTATAAAATAGGCCAAATTTACAGCCCAGGAAACTCTACTCTGAGTAAAAAGCAAGAAATATGGTCTACTGCTTCCCAATATACTATCGTGGTTTTTGAAAAGGTTATTTTTTAGAACTTTGCTATGTTTCAGGTAAGTCCTGAATCAATGAACTTTACAAAGAGTGTCGGGTAGTATAGTTTGGTCAAGTAGATATGGCAAACTATTCCATCAGCTAACTTGGGCCCAATGCCTTTAAAAACTGAGCATTCAAGAAGACCTGTTACAAAATAGGTATCAATTCCTGTCTCAAAATTATCACCTGAAATGAATGGGAAAAAAACAACAAAAACAAGGCAACAGCTTCTGGACCCTAGGACACTGGTGTTATTCCTTACAGTGCCAACAGAGACTCACATGGCGGTGTGTGGGGATGAAGACGGCGGCGGGAATGAGAACCCCGGACAAAGAGCTGGGCCTACTCCAGTCTAGTTAGCCACTACTTGTGTGACCTCTCTACATCAATATAACCTCATCCACAAAATGGAGGTTACTTCCCTATCTTCTTCATAAGGCTGCTATTAGAATTTAAATATTTTTTTAAAAAGTATACAGTAATAGTACTTTATAACCTGGTAAGCACTTATCAAAATGCTTTCAGTGGTTCAATTTGAGCCTCAGTAGACATGTGAAAAACAGGATTGGTGCATTTACATTTTAAAGAGCAATGACTAAGCAAAAAAGCAGTACTATATAATCAGAGAAATCGTTATTAAACAAAAGTATCAAAATGTGAACCTACTACTTGTCAATACAGCCTCTATGTAGGTCTATCCATTTCTGAAAGCATTATTTCCATCCCTCTTGCCCTTCCCCAAACAAGGCTGCATTTCTCGATTTGCACCACCATCAAAATGGTGAATTCTGCCATCCTCGAGACTCAGATCTTGTTCCTTTTCAATGTTCATTGAGTTTGGAAAGCAAAAAAGAAGTTTGAAGGGGCAAGATCAGGGAAGTAAGATGGATGAGGTATGCTTTCCCAAAGGAATATTCATAGGACAGCCCTTGTTACTTTTGAAGAATGAGCAGATAGATAGTGTCCTGGTGGAAAAATATTCTTTGGTACAATTTTTCTGGCCCTTTTCTCACCAATGCTGTTTTCAGTTTTCTCAAAACTTCTTCATAATAAGCTCATGTGATCACCATGTCCTTTAAGAAGGTTCATCAAGGTTTTACCCCTTTGGGATCCCAGAAAATAATCACCATGGCCTTCTAAGCCAGTGATTCTCAACCTTCGTAATGTCACGACCCTTTAATATAGTACGTGTTGTGGTGACCCCCAACCATAAAATTATTTTCATTGCTACTTCATAAATGTCATTTGCTACAGTTATGAATCAGGCGACTGCTGTGAAAGGATCATTCGACCCCCAAAGGGTTCATGACCCACAGGTTGAGAACCGCTGTTCTAAGCTGTCATCTCTGCCATGAATTGTACTGGCCCCTCAAAGGCCCTCAAAACCAACTGTTTTGATTGACCTTCACTTTCTGGATCAAACTGATAAATCCAACACATCCCATTACAATTTGCTCCATAAAGTTATCTTCATTCGCTTCCATCTTGCTTAAAAACTAATAGAGAGATCAGCTCTCAGTCAGCGGATCTCTACACAAGGCTTTTAAGACCCATCAAGCGATAAGCCCGCTGCAGTTATTTTTCTTCAATTTTCTTCAATCAGTTTCTTTTTTTTATTAAACATTTTATTAGGGGCTCATACAACTGTTATCGCAATCCATACACACATCAATTGTGTAAAGCGCATTTGTACATCATT